TAGATAGAGAATAGGAAAGTGGGAAGAGAAGGTGGGAGAAAGGCAATATACTGTTAGAATGAGAAATTCAGCCTCTCCCTTCCCCGAACTGGCAAGGGCCATCTGCCACTTTCCAGATATCTGAGCGCTTGTGTATAGCAGGTGTGGTTCATGCATTTCTGAGGAGGCTAGGACTCCTTTTAGTCCAGAACTATGAGTTTATCTCAGCCAGGTGAATTCCATCATCATTTCTTTCAGCCCAGGGCCCAGAGTAAGGGATGAATGTTTCAGATCACAATGCCTCGGTATATATTTTTCATAGATTAATAGGAATGAAGCATTGCCATCTCTTGGCTTTACTGTGCAACAGCAGACATCTGGGAAGAGGTGTGCTTTAAGCCAGCAGGGATTATGGCTCACTGAAAACACATCATGGGTCAAAAATGCCATAGGCTGGTGGACGTTTGATTCTATTGCAGATGGGACAAAATGCCCAAGTCTATCCTACTCAGTTGGGAAAGTGATTATTTTTAACATGTGCTTTTGTAGGGTTTTTGCAGGGGGAGGCGGCGGAGGGCGGGGGGACGGAAATGGCGAAGAGTGCACTCCCCCAAGCCTCTGGTCTGCTGTGAGTGTTCCACCTCATCAGCCCAGTCATAAGAGGCTCAGGCCCACTGTCTGCCCCTTCCAGGATTGTCGACAAACCCAAACAAGCTGTCGCATAGGTGGACTAAGGTTCTGTTCCTTTGGCGGGCTTCTGTTAAGCTGCAGCCCCAACTAGGCTTACAGGCTAAAGTGGAGTAGTCTCACTAAAGGTTAGTCAGCAGCATCAGGCCCACCCTTCAGGCAGGGGCCAGCAGGCAGCAGTCACCCAAGGACCTCTTTCCTTTAGCCAGCCATCTTACCAGAAGCAGAAAACTAGTGGTCTAGTCCCTCACCAACTTTGCTGTTTCCCCCTCTTTTTCAGCTCCTCCCTCCATTTCTGTGTGACAGGGTGGGGCCACCTGTGCCCCCATTAACCCTGTGTTACCCAGTGTGCGGTTTATATACTCCAACACAGGGGGGAGTTGTGAAATGTGTCATGATAGCTCGGCACATTATTAGGAGGCCAGGGGAAGGAATACCACACTTCAGGCCAGACTTGCTGGCTCAAAACCAAAGAGCATAACTGTAGTGTTACCCCCATGCTGGTCACACATGCCAGGAACCAAAAGGTTAAATAATAAGGCTTTGCCAAGCTTGCTAAAGTCCTCGTATGGAAGGTGCCTTAGGAGCCCTAATCCCTCCGCTAAACAGTTAAGTGTCCTCCCTGCTTTACAGATCACAAAATGGAGACACAAAGGTTAAGGCCCTGTCCCATGTCGCCAAATGGCAGAGTCAGGAATAGCGCTCAGATCTCCCAACGCCTATGCTGACGCTGTCCGCTTGGTTTTAAACATCCTACCAGCACCTTAATGAAAAGGTCTGAATATTAAAATAATCTGAAAAACCCCTACATACCACATGTCTAAGGGTGTTTTCTTCCTGGCCGTGGCTGAAGGCTTTTGGTTGGGGCCACCACCCAAATCTGCTCAGACCCGCACCTTACCCCCATCCCTTTCTCTGTGCATGCGTGTGCCTAGGAGCAGCCAGCACTCAGCCCTTCTGAAAAGCCAAGTCAAGGCCCAGCGCTTTCCGATGGCAGCGTGATGCCCACATTCAAGGCACTACTGACAAGCCATCAGAGTTCCCATCTCCCCACTCCAGCCACGCCCCAAAGAGAGAGGGGTTTCTGGGATAAGACTGATTACAGGCTGCACAATGCCATTCCTCACCAGGTACAGCAGCTGCACTGGAGACACAAGTGACTGATGACATTTCATCGAACAGTGGCTTGAGTGAAAGCATTAAAGGCACTGTAACCCACGCCTCAACCAAGGCACGAGGTGCCTCTATGCCACAATGCTTCGACCATCATGTCTACACATCAGCCCCTGAGGAATTTGCAGTGTTACACACCTTCTTGACAACTGTTTGAAATAGGCCATCCTGATTATCACTACAAACGTTTTTTTTCTCCTGCTGATAATAGCCCACCTTAATTGATTAGTCTCCATACAGTTGGTATGGCAACACCCATTTTTTTCATCTTCTCTGTGTATATATATCTTCCACTGCATTCATCCAATGAAGTGAGCTGTAGCTCACAAAAGCTTTTGCCCAAATAAATTTGTTAGTCTCTAAGGTACCACAAGTCCTCCTTGTTTTTTTAGCATGAGATGCTGGAGCAGCTGGTTCCTCCATGGGTAATTACAAGTGACAAGGTAAACGTCACCTTGTCAGCTTCAATATCCAAGTAAGATGCTGCTGACCAAGAGAGTCAGGGCTCTCTAGGCTATTCTACACTCTCAGCTTTCAGTTAGCCTGACTCAAGGCTCAGACAAGGCAGACCACTACAGATAAGCCCTGCATTTCCACGGGGAGGGGGGAGAGTGATTAACACATCCTAGTTATATCACTTAGCGCATCACTCACATTCTCACAAGATTTTAACATATATCACATGCTAACCTGCTATCTTCTCCCCCTTCTCTCTTACACTCTGAGTGAGTGCCTGGTGCCAGCCTCAGGCCTGTTCAAGAGCTGGGAGGAGAGGGTTTAAAAAGCATTTGTTTCAGCTTTCTAACTAGGGAGGGGGGCTAAGAGAGACTGTAAAATTTGCCTGTTAGTGGAAATGTAGAGCAATACCCTCAGTTTGCAAGAACGTACTCGATAAGTCTTCCCAAAAAGGAAAGGAGTACTTGTGGCACCTTAGAGACTAACCAATTTATTTGAGCATGAGCTTTCGTGAGCTACAGCTCACTTCATCGGATGCATACCGTGGAAACTGCAGAAGACATTATATACACACAGAGACCATGAAACAATACCTCCTCCCACCCCACTCTCCTGCTGGTAATAGCTTATCTAAAGTGATCATCAAGTTGGGCCATTTCCAGCACAAATCCAGGTTTTCTCACCCTCAGAGTGAGTTTGTGTGTGTGTGTGGGGGGGGGGGGGGGGGGTGAGAAAACCTGGATTTGTGCTGGAAATGGCCCAACTTGATGATCACTTTAGATAAGCTATTACCAGCAGGAGAGTGGGGTGGGAGGAGGTATTGTTTCATGGTCTCTGTGTGTATTATAATGTCTTCTGCAGTTTCCACGGTATGCATCCGATGAAGTGAGCCGTAGCTCACGAAAGCTCATGCTCAAATAAATTGGTTAGTCTCTAAGGTGCCACAAGTACTCCTTTTGTTTTTGCGAATACAGACTAACACGGCTGTTACTCTGAAACCTGAGATAAGTCTTCCAGTATACTAGCCCAGAATTTAACAAGGTGTATGAAGTGTTCAGGCAGGTTGGAGATTTGAGACTCAGAGGGCTGGAACGTCCATTTGGAGAATGCAACATATCAAGGCAGACTACAGGTAGGCATGTTTTCTGCCCTGCCCTGCTCTAAACTGAAGCGTGGGCGTCAGATTTGTACGTAGCACTTTGCATTTTCAACTCCCGGTAAAGCTGTCAGCATTACCAATCCGACCTGAGTCAACCCCTCCCCTCCTTCAAAACAATCATGATGGAAAAAAATCTCTCATAATGTAGTAAAACATAGATTTACGGTGTTTTATTTGCCATCTGGTTTGAGCCTTTAAGGTGCTCTTCATGTCCATTTCCAAGCTCCTCTCTACAACTATGAGGTCTAGAAAGTTTTTTTTTTAAATGAAAGCCGAGATTCTCACCTGTCTCCAGGAGCTACAGTTATAAATAGAGCATCAAATATCCCCAGACTTGCGATAAAGAGTTGGCAATACTGATATATTAGTAATTCTCAGGGTCTACATGATGTAGTTAAGTATTGTTATACCAGAGTTCACTCTATGGTGTGTTACACATAGTCTTACAAGTTTCTTCTTAGCATGCAAGCAAGTTTGCAGTTGGAATAGAATGCTGTGTTAATTTTCTGATACAATTTCTTTTGGGGACCTTGGCAACCAGCAAGGGAGTTTGAGCTCTCAGTCTTTTGAACTCAGTCCTTAAGGCAGAATTGCTTCCAGGGAACTGAGTATTGGTGTTTTGGCCAAGAGTCCTAAAAGGCAACAGCCTGCATGCTGTTTATGATCAACTCTATTCAAAGACTGGTGTATATCAAACAAGTTCTACTAAGGATACACCCAGACTCTACATCACTGATTTCTCCTCCAATGGGAACACTTGGCAGAGCAACAGTATTTTTACCACCATTGCCTAGATGGGGAAAGAGAAGAGGTAAGGGCTTTGTGTAAGGGCATTGCGATCTCCTAATGGATTGAGGTTGGAGCTAGGAGTCAGCAGATTGGGCAATCATCCTACTTCTGATGCTGACCGCCTGGGAGACCCTGATCACTGGTGCCTCATCTACATAGAGAGGCTAGTTCTGCTTACCTACTGCAAATCGGTTGTGTGTGTATGTACAGAGGGGAAGTGAGAGGACAGACTGATGTGAACATGTTAGAGTATGTGGCCTACAAAGGAACGCTTGGTTATCCATGGTTTCTCCTTGTCCAAAGCAGAGATCAGAGACAAGGGTATAAAGAGGGGCTTGACAGGAGCCGCAACACATTGGGAAACAGCTTGAGTGGCAGTTTCTTTGATTAGGATCTTTCCAGACAAGCAATGCTGGGAGGTTGTGAGTGCAGTAGCCATTGTCCCTGACCGTGGGCAAATGAAAGCTCTACTCCCCACAACCACAGACATCTGGCAGCCAAGATCCCTACAGGTTTGGCTTTGGTTTGCCTCCCAGATGAAGTTTGATTTCCCTTTCATGTAAGTTCTCCCCCACCCACCCCTAGTTTAGGATCCGATTCTCCTCTTACTTACACCCAGTTTTACTCCCGGTACAGGTGTATCCAGGGACAGAATCAGGCCCTTAATGAGCGGGTGCTCACAGCAGGACAGGTCCCCTTGAGTTACTCCAAGGTTCGATGACCTGGAATGAACTCTTCCTTTGCAACCAAACATAGCTGGTTTTCATATGCCTTTATTTGGAAGTTATAGGCTCTTTACAGGCACTGTGCGTTGGTGTTTCAGTACAGTTCGGATTTACTATGCATCACCCAATGACTGAGGGGGGCAGAGCGGGAGGAATACCTCACAGCAACAGTTCCAGCCTCCAGGTAGGCATAAGACATCTGGGGAAACAATGTGCTTCTTTCGAAGCCACAAAGCAAGGAATTGGGTTTACAAAACAGACTTTAAAATAATATACATATACAGGAGCAATGCAAAGCTAAACTGCAGCTAAAATTGGTACATATCTAGGCTGCTGCTCAAAGCCCTTTCCCCAAAGCTGGAAAAGGACATTTTAAAAACTAAAAAGACAGGGTTTTTTTTAAAAAAAAAAAAAAGATTCCATGCATTAAGTCGTAGTGTTTTGTGCAATTAAGAAGGAATGAAAATAAATATAACTTAAAAACCTTTTCCATGACACTAATGGAATAGGGGCAAGTTCGTAAGGCACTTCCACAGGGGCTACTCTATGCAGCATAGGAAACCTGGGCAAAAAGCTGAACAGTGCAACCATTTACAACTATATGCTCAGAACTACAGACCTGTGCCTGGTGAGATATGAACTGAGAAAGTCTGACGAGATTTTAATCTCCACGAGAGAGACTTGTGCACGGCTAGGGAACAACAGATGGCTGAGTGGGCCCCTCCCTTCCCCACACACACCTAGCGCCGCAGTGAGGGTACCTTCCTGACACAGGAAAGTTGCACCCATCTAACTATTGCAGAGCAGGCTGATAGCATCGCTGTTGGGGAAAGAGATGAGACAATGGTCTTTCGGAGTTGGGGGTGGGGAGGAGAAAGGTTCATAACTTCTGCCAGACTCCTGGCTAGCTTGTATTATTCATGGAACAAAAGCTGCAGGATTGTTCATGACCCAAGCTCAATACTGTCCTTATGTCCTAAGTTCTGGAGAACTCCAAGCTCTCCAGGAAGAGCAAGAGGCACCAACAGCCTTCCCCTCCCACATCAATAGCTGACCTTTAGCAAGCTAGCTCTGCTAAAAGCATGCTGCTTAGTTCAAATGTTCCAGGAAGTTAAAAATTAGCCTCCACCCTAAATAGAGAACTGGTTGTTTTCACAAGCCTTGAAGCAGAAAGGCCACGTATACATCCAATTTAGGCAGAGCCAATTAGGGAACAATTTGTGAAAACCAGAGCTGGATTTAGTGAGCTACATGGGTAACAAGGGGGGGGGGGGAATTGCCTTAAATCCCTTTGTCTTACCCAGTAAAACTGAGGTGATAACCTTGAGAGCTGCCTCCCTGCCCTAACCTCCTCCATATACCCCTGTAGATATGAGAGCTCTCAACGCACACCACTAGGGGTAGGTTGTTTGCACATATGAAAGAACCCTTTTAGACCAATTAATGCAATTCTGTTTGAGATGTAGCCAGAACTGGTTCTAAAAGAACCCATAAGTACGCCTGGCATTTGCTAATCGTAAGGGCTCGTAACAAGGATACTACAAAAGACGCTCAAAGGCATTGAAAAGTACTGGAGACCGCTCCCCCTGTGAACTCCCTTCTGACCCAGATTTACCAGGGGTTCCCATCCCCTTTTGCACACCTGGCAGTATTAACCTTACACAGCACGGAGGACTGCTTATCTGATTATTGCTAGGAAATACCCACCAACACTGAAGCCTTTTTAAAGTTTCATAATGGTCCCATAGCCACTTTTGCTCTCCTTCAGCCTCATCTGAGGCTTCAAGCCACATGGTAGGCCACCATCCCAGCTTAGGAGGGTTGGCAGTTGCTCCTATAATGGGAGCAGGATCGCTGGAGACAGAAGAGTAATCTCTTCCTTGTTGTCTAGGTTCAGACTATTGGTTCCACAGCATTCTCAGCCAGTGCTGGCCTACAAGGTCTGAGCATCAGCCTCAGATCGTCACGTGCCAGCACACTGCCCTACTGCTAAATTGCTCAAAGGCGATTTCAATTCGAAGACAGGCCGATGGTAAACATCTACAGCTGACAACGCCAGCTCACCTCAGTGGTTAGAGGGAAGCTCATCAACCAGCACTAAACAGGTTAGTAAGAGCCACAGTTATACTACACTTAGTTATTGACAAGAACAGACTTTGCAATTCCAATGGCCACTCAAAAATAACGGAACAATCACAAGTGGGTAACAAGGTTGCTCGAAGAGAGAGAGAGAGAGAAACCTAGATCTCCTAAGGAGTCTACACCTCTAGCTTCCTAGGACGAAGGATGTTATTAAATGTAACTAAACCTCTCCCAACCTGGTGTCCCTGCCTTCACCTTCTCCAGAACACTTAAAATGGCAATCTAAAAGCTATGGAGTCTTGCCGGCTTGGAGGATGGTGTGTTACTAGCACCAGCCACTAGAGGGCAGATGCTCCTTACAGATGAATACGTTCTGTCATTCGCTTAGCTGGAAGGGCTTTAATTACACAGTTCAGGAGCAACAGAACTCAGGGTTCGGACACCATCTTCGTTCAACTGGAGGGCATGTCAGCTGCACAACTGCTCACTACATAAGTTCTTGTTAAAGAGAGATGGACTAAGAACCAGAAATGCTATGGAAAGAGCATGCGTTCGCCTAGCCAACCAGACCACAGCTGCTTGCTGCTCAGGCGCCCGCGATGAGCAACACGATCTGCTCCCATCTACTGAGCAAAGCCAAGGCTTCAAGTTCAGCGTTTGTTCTGGCAGGCGATCTACATATGTACAAAAACTAAAAACCACCTTAAATAGGGAAGTGATAGCTTTAACATGGGCGGGGGGCTGGAAAGTGTCTTGTAGTGCAGTTCAGAAGAGTCAGTTTGAGGGGCGGGATGCTGGGTAGTGGTGGAATTGGACATATGGCTTTAATGCAGGTCCTCGCTCTGTGACAGTTCCATTAGGATCTTAATGAGGTTGTCCAGCCCCCAGAGGTAGCCATCCTCTCTGTTCCCTTCCACCCATGGCACGTTGTGCTGGAGGAATTGTCCCTCTGGCAGTGGTGTGGTTTTCCCGAAGTCGATCATCCAGACTTTGGCCTGTTCCTTTTGGTCGTGAATGAAGAGGAGGGAGCTCCCAATTACCTGCAGAGAGAAAAGACCCCAGTAGTCATGCTTCCAGTTTTAGACAGACACATATGCCAGTCAGGGTATAGCTGCTTTTGCAGTCCCACCCCCATTATCTAAAACTGCACCTGCAATATTTTACGCTCCAGTTTTTGCATGTGCAAAAACTTGGATTTGTGCACACCAGCTGCATTTGCACATGCAAATCAAACATCTAAACTCCCTGATTTACTCACAAGGCACGGATTTTGTGCATGCAAGAAGCTTTGCCGAAGAGAGGAGCATGAAACTTTGGGCATATAAAATTGCAGCTGCAAACTTCAGAAGCCAAGTGGAGGTTCGGAGGGGTGGGGGGAGGGAGTGGGAAGACATAGGGCTTGTCTTCATGGGGACCCTCAGGAAAGTTAAGACTAAAGGTATGAAGTTAATGAACATCAGTTAAAGCACATAAAACCACTGAGTGAACGCTGCCATTCAGAAGTAAAGTGGCCTTACTGGACCTTAATCCTCCTATTTCTAGAGTCTTCAAAGGAGGATAAAGATACAGCAAACGTAGGCCACTTTAAACGAGAGCATCCGCTCAGGAATTCATGTGCCTTCACTTACGCCCATTAATGTCATACTTGCATTTGATCTGTCTTAATTTTGGGGTGTTCCTGCATAGCCAAGCCCTTTGCATCAGCATTTAGAATAAAGCTCTTCACAAGCCAAGTTCCTTATGGATGATCAATGCCTGGAATTAAGCTACACTCACTGGGTCTGCATCCTATGCTATACAAACACTGCCTCAGCAATTGTGCTTAAATTCTTGAATACAAGTTACACACAGACAAAATGTTCCCTCCCTGACTGATGCTTCATCCAGTAACACTCAGAAGAGAGCCTGGGATAGGTTTCACCAAGGCTCATGGCCCCTGTCAGTCTACCAGGAGGTGACAGGACAGTAGGGTAACAGCCATCCCTTCCGTGAGCTGCTGCCACCACTACAAGGGGCTGTTTCACACTCTGATAAGCCTGTAGACAATGAAACCCTGTCCGTCCTCAGTGTGTGCGCATGCACCTCTCCCACTGAATCCAACAAGCGTTTGGGAGGGCATCCGTGTGTAGAGTTTGGCTGTGTATTACTTTAAGAAAGCTTTCCTAAAGAAGGTAATCCTTCTGCTGCAGCTTCCCCTCCTGGAGGAATCCCTACCAGGACAGCCAAGGAGAAGGTGGAACAGAGCTCACACAAACTCATGCAGAGAAGGGCCCCCTTTGCACTTCTCCTTCCTTTAATACGTGGCCTTATTTCCAGTTTGGCCCGGTGCTGAATATCCACAGAGCTCACTGACTCCAGTGGGAGCTGTGGGTGCTCAGCACCTCTGAAGAGCCTGTGATATTTGCTTCCCCTGCTGGGCCAAGACAGCCCAGGTATGCGGACTTTCAGATCCCACTGCCTGGCCTGCCTAAGGTGTTCCCCAAGGTTCTTACCCGGTGCTGGGTTTGAGTCAGTCTTTGCATCAATACTGTGTTTCAGTTGTGCACATGGATGCCTGGATCACATTTCATAATCCTCACTGCATAGTTTTGCCTCACATAGCTTCTGCTTCCCCAGTTAAAAAAGAATTCAGTCAGCGCATAGGCCTCAATTCAGGAAAACACTCAAGTAAGCTTCCCACACAGAAGCCTTTTACAGAGTCAGGGCCATAATAATGTGTCTCCCAGGTACAGTAGTTTGATGGACTCTATACTGATTTGCACTATTGCTATTCATGGTAGCAACGGTTAACACAACCCCTACAGGAGCAGCGAAAGTGGGCACTTCAGCTAGCCCCTCGAATAAGGGCCTAGGAATGCAGATGAGACTTGGAAGCTAGCAGAGAAAGACTCAGCCAATTGTAGAAAGCCGTTCTTGAACCATGAAAGGGACTGAAGAGCAATTTGTTAGCTGGAAGGGATCCTAACAGCAGAAATTAGACTAACAAGACCATCTGACCAGTCACCAGACTGGTCAGAAGATGTTCCATGTTAATCACCAGTTCAAGACAGCATGGGGGAAGTGCTGGAGCCTAGCCCGTCCCCTGAAGCAGTCCCCAGGAAAGAATAGTGATGTAGCTCTAGAAGAATTCAACCAATGTCAGCATTTCAAAACAGAAGTGCTACCGTGTTTGAAGCATCACCCATTTTAGGTATGCCTATAGAAAAAAAGTTTTTAAATGGAAGCATGTAGCGTTTGCACAAGTTGTTATAAATTTACATTTGTGAGGAGGCTTTCTCCCTCAGTGCATTGGAGCTTTCCCAGAGACAGACAGGTCTGGGAATGAATGCACGTCGGAAGCACTCCTTTCCACTCTGATAGCCCCCCTTTGCCCTGAAGGACCAGTTTCGCTTTAAAGAAATTACTCCTGCATAACTGCTTCATTCTCATCTCTTTGGTAACTGAGTTCTGAAAAAGCCTGCTCTTCCCACTCTCCAGAGGAGAACCCCAGCAACACAACTCAGCAAAATTCGGAGTTTCTATCCCATGGAAAATGCTGACTTTTCAATATTTATTTTAGTCCCAAACCAGACTGAAAAGTTGTTATTTTGAAGTTTCCTGTGGAATGGAAATTCCAAAAGATTTCCATTTGGAAATGTCAAAATGCTTTGTTTCAACATTGGCTCAAAAAACAAAACAACCCCCCCCCCCAACCCTGACATTGCTGCAATCTAAATGTTTAATTTTGGTTTGTTGAACTGACCCAAAATCCTTTGTTTCGAGTAATTTCAACATTTCAATTGTCCTGAGACTTGTGATTTAGGCACAAAAACATGTAGGGAAAAATATGGAAACTATTTTCTGACAGAAAGTAATTCTGACAGAAGATCCCTGACCAGCTCTTCCCAGCAAGCTCTATAAGTGCTGTTTTGAGATACCTCAAAGGATGCTGGGAGAGTATCTGGAAGCATGTTTGAATAGCTCATGATGATGGATGCCAACCATTATCTGGAATTTGCACTTATGTAGACTTTAGTACATATATATATGATAGAATAGCTAGAAATATTCCTGAAGTCATATATAAGCATAAGCATTCTGAACAAACATTTAAACATGAGCTCCTGGACTAATAAAAATTGATGGTCATACAATTTAAAGATAGCTGTCACTTAGTGTCAGATGTGACAAGGTTATATCAAAGTCGTAAGTCATATGATCTCCCTGCAGGTACTAAGCAGACAAACCTATGAAAATACACATTTGAGAATAAACTCAAGTTTTAGAAATGTATGAGTTCTAATATTGACTATATCCCTTTCTTGGACAGAAACTACACAGTATACATAGAGACGGATCTAGCTAAGCATCATCTCAAGGGAGAAAGGCAAGTTTTACCTCATGGCATTTAAAGAATGGCGATGTCTCCAGGGTTTCACGGATCCCCTTCAACCGATTAAGGTAACCGTTCTGGAATGATAAAGAAAATAAGCTATAAGCACTACTGCGAATTCAAGTCTTTTCAAGCAAGTCATTGGTAAGACTTAGAGAGGGGTGTGTTAGACTAGTAACCTAGCGAATTTCTGGAATCCTTCAAAATCCCCTTGCTAATCACACCAATGTTCCTGGTCTAATCCAAAAAGCAGGCTAAATTATAAATATTCAAATACATACAGTACTGGCTAACTGTGCTTCCAGCCCCTCTTCTAAGAGGAGTCAAATCAACTGCTCAAACTCTGGCTCTGGTGGGAGGTTGCAGAGGGGTGGACTTCAGGAGGTTAGCAGTTTGACTGATTAGATTCACCTCTCATTAGCCCTAGCCTTAAACAGTGTCAAAGTGGTTTGAAAGGACTCCCAAGTCAGTCTGCGTACATAGGAGCAATTTGGCCAAACCAGAGCTGGGCAGCATCATTTACAGATCCAAGAATAAACCCCAGTTAGCTAACATCAAAGTAAACAGGCAGGTATGAAATTGGCAGTGCTAAGAGTCAGGTCATTTAGAGTCATTCGCTAGTAGGCTTTATATGGTAGGGCCTAAAACGCAGCTAGTTTATCAAATTGCATATTTCACCCAGTCTATGTAAAACACTTACAGCTAACCAGCTAGTTCACCTAGCAATGCGCAGCAGCACCATTTGGCATGTGGAGGATACATGGGTTTGCAGCGCTCAGGCCCAGGAGAGGGATGGCTACAGACAAGATGTTCCCCTCCTGCCCCCCCAACCCCCAGCGCCCCTGGATGGCTGGGACACTGGGCACCCTTACAGCCTGCCTTATGAGGCAGCCCACAGTATAGGAAGGAAATCTTCTCCAGCCAAGCATCCAGAGATCAGAGGTAAGAGAACAGATGGAAAGGTCCGGTCTTTCTTCACCAGCCCCAGCCAGTACTGATGGGAGCCTGCAGCCTCTTCTCCATCTCTACAGCAGACTTCCCCTCCCCTGGTTTAGCCGACCAAGCCTACCCTTCCGCATCTGTCCTCCAGCAGTGGATGGTTTCGTAATCCTACTAGCTGCCTGATATAATCAGTTGCCTAGCACAAAGTCTGAGTGTCGCCATTACAGCGAACAGCGTGTTCTCTCCTAGCCTCTGCTTACCCCTGCACCATCTCCAGGCTAGGAAGTGGTCTCTACTTTGCCCTTTTGGTGCTATTTTCCAATAGGCGCGGCACAGCAGCAGCAAGGTTAATTCTGTGGTCCTTGACATTAGGCAATGCACCAGCAAGGCAAGAGTCTAGAGGAGGAAGGAGCCCATCCTCGCACCTGGCAGGCATTTGGGCAATGTCGTCCTAATGCAACTGCTGACTCACCAAAATGTTACGGTTTCCTTTAGTGAATTCTCTGAAGGCCTCTGTGACCTGTTCCTTTGTTCTTGTCTTCTTGAAATCCCGGTTCACTGAGCCATCTTCTTTCTTAAAAAGGGAGAGAAATCCAGACACATTGTCATGAGAGCGGGCAGTTAGAGGTGACTTGTGTTTGAAATGCTGCTGGGCATGTCATGAACCAGAATGCAGACTGGCCTCCTTGAGGGCAAGGGGACAGGTGGCCAAGATTCAAGTAAGTGTCATGAAATAATAATAAATAATACCTACTCTTCCATAGTGCTTTTCAGCTCAAAGTGCTTTACAGCGGGAAGTAATATCACTATCCCTATTTTACAGATGGGAAAACAGAGGTACTGAGAAGTCACGCAGCAGGGCCAGTGACAGAGCCAGGATTTGAACCCAGGTCTCCCGAGTTCCAGTCTAGTGCTCTATTCTCTAGGGGGTGACAGTCCTCTGCTTATGGAGGGTCAGATGCAGTGGCTATTTGCCTTACTGAAGATGTCAGAAGATAGACTGACCTGCCATTCAGCTCTTGCAGCCAACTTCAGTATTGCCCATTACTTAATAAAGAATCTTAGCAGAAACTGCCCAGTGTCACAGAGACCTGCCAAGGCCACTAACGACATGGGCAAGTTACTGTCCAGGGACATAGCACTGACTGACCCCAAACGCAGGTCCTAGAAGTAAGTACCACTCATTTTTTTGCCATGTAGTTCCTGAATTTCTTCTCCCTGCTTTCTCTGACCAGAATGTTTAATAGCCAGTGGCTGCCTCTTATTGTATTCTTGCATCAAGAAGAAGCAAGCGTAAAAGTTGTGCTAGAAAACATCTGAGGATGGAGGGAAGGGAAAGGTAGACATTTCCCGGAAGGGGACACAAAAATCCCTGGGTAGCCAGTCTAATTTGAAACACTAGGGCAGCTTTTGGATGGGAAGGCATAATGCAGGCTGCAGCAGTTCACACATAGGCCCTGGGCATACCCGCTTTACTCCCTACTGAAAACTGCAAAAAATGGTGGGTCTGCAGGAAACCCAGGTCCCCGGCCCATTGATAATGGCCAAGAGTCGTAAAAAACGCCTGCCTGTCGGCTGTTTATGATCACCTCTGTGTTCAAGGACCGGGTCACGCAGTGTAAAAACTCAGCAAGTTGTGCACACTCTTCCCTCCCACTCCAGTTGAGCAGCATTGCTATCTGAACATCTCACCTGCTCAGGCTGCACCCAGCCTAGCCCTCAAAGGGACCCAGCACACCCTCCCAGCTGAACCGGCCTGCTTTCATCTGCTCCTGCTCAGCAGAGGAAACAGCCAAATGGCTCAAGGCCAGATTCCCATCACTTGGCAGCGAGCGGTACTTCGCTCCAGGAAGGGTCCCCTTGAAGTCAGCTACTCCACATGAGCAAGGATGTCAGAATCTGCCCTGGAAGGATTTCTTTAAGCATCACTGTCAGACGAAGATCCACAGTGGAGGCTTTGTGACCTATGTAGGTTGCCCATAGATTGAAGAGTCAGGTCAGGTCTATCATTAAATATCTTCTCTCCTCCCAAAAGCCACAGAGCAGGCAATAAAAGGAGTTGCAAGAAAAAAAAAAGATGCAGTGGTTATGAATAGGCATCTCTAGCTTTTACCCTTGACCTAAACAAAGTCTGATGTAGTGAAGAGGTAAGTGTTAGGCCTTTTTTCCTTAAATTTCTCACCATTGCTAGGAATGGTGCAGCTCCACAGTGGTAGGAGGTAGATAGATTGCCAGCATGTTTCTCATTCGGTCATCTAGACCTGTTCTGAGTGAGGTGGCTGTGGGGCACCCATGGCTGAGCTAGTCTATTGAGATTATGGAATCCTCATCACTGGAGGCTTTTAAGAACAGGTTGGACAAATACTGTGAGGGATGGTCTCAGTATACTAGGTCCTGCCTCCGTGCAGGGAGCTGGACTAGATGGCCTCTCAAAGTCCCTTCCAGCCCTACATTTCTGTGTTCTATCAATAGCAATGGTGGGAAATTTTAAGAGAAAAGACATAGCCCAAGAGATTACATCCCAGGATTAGAGTTAACCACGGTTAAGTGCTCAATTTAATGGAGCTCTGTGCACAGCATGACAGAAATAGCAAGATGCCTCTGCTCCAAGGAGCTTACAGGCTACCAGGCAGCACAGATACATGCAATGCCAGACTGACAGTAAGGCAAATGTCAGATGTCAGGCACCAGTAGTGAATCAGCACAATACCCTTGCATGTCTGCGTCAGCACACTTCCCAGTAGAACTTTGTCCCAAAAAGGCACTCTTCTCCTACTATTCTGTTCCCAAAGGTCTTAGGGAAGGAAGTATGCAAACATCTGGAAGTCAAAAGATTGGGGTTCCATTCCTGCTCTTCCATGGACTTCCTATGGGATCTTTGCCAAGTCACTTAACCTGTCTCTGCTTCCATCCCTTAGCTACAAAATGGGGGTGATGAAGAGTCTCCCAAACAAATTAAGAAAGCTATTGTGATGCTAAATCACTTTGAGAGCCTCAGATGCTGTAGAAATGAAGAGCATAGATCAGGTTCTTTCATTGTTTGTTCAGATTCTATAAACCACTGGGTAACCAGAATTCCCTTTGGGACCCGCACTTCCTGGATGTAGAGGCTAGTTTTAAAGTGTGTCCTATACACACAGCTTTGTTTCCATAGTCTAGCGCTCCATGAAGGATGACTTGTTTGCCCACAACACTCTGAAAGGATGGGAGCCGGAAAGACATCCTGTTATGCTGGGGAAGATGAAGTAAGAATGAAGAACTGGATCAGAGGATGAGGGAAGGAACAGAGTACAATGAATATCCTGTCCTGTAGCTTTAGATGTCCTTATAAAGTCTTCCCAGGGGCGTTCCGAGTATTCAACTGAGCACCATTCCCACAGAGTAAGGTACTGACTGCGGACAAGACAGTAAACTCTGAAATCAATCAGAAATGGAAGGTGAAATATGTGTGTGTACAATGCATGAATTGTTGGGGTGTGTAGACTGACCACGTAAATCAGTGTGCCAAATTTAGTCAGTAAATGATATGCAAATGTAACCCAAGATTATGCACATGATGTAAATGGCATTAAGCAATAGTAAAACCTATAACTAAAGATGATGAACAATCTCTCTTGCTAAAGTATGCTCAGTGGAGTGGATCTGGGCGATGTTCCACCTGTGCAGGAAAACTGCTGTTTGTGAGCCTGCAATTGGGAGCCATGTATAATGCATAAAGCCCTATGTGGTTTGGGACATGACAGCCTGAGATCACCTCAGGGCCTGTGCACCGTTGCAGGTGGCCAAGACCAGAAAAGTCATGCTGACAGAATGTGTGCTCTGAGAGAGTGGGGAAGCACCTTCAGAGGACGTTTGCTTGCTCAGCAACTTGCTCCCTCTTGTTTTCCAGAGGGAGAGTTCCCTGGCTACTATGCATCAGTCATATGAGCCCTTATACCAAGGTTTGGAAACCTCCCCCCACCCTGCCCCTTGGAGATGACAGATACCAACCTGGAGAAGGGCTATCACACTAGTTTCACATGTAAACTCCAGTACAGCCTTGCACAAAGCACTCAAGAAAGGAGGTGTATGATTACGAGTGGAGTCTTACATGCAGCGAGAAATAAATGGAACTGCGGATGGGCTTTGAGATAAGGCATTAGCTCAGTTTCAGAAAAGCCAGCTAGAATATTTATAATGCTGCTCCTATAATTACTCCCCTCCTGAAGTTTTCTCTGAGTTGCCAGGCACTGCTGTGGTGTTTTCAATAGGCTTGATATTTACAGGTGTTTTAGCCCCAGGGAGTTAATCTTTACAAAGAAGAAATATAGAGCTGGTTGATGGGCCACAGCAACTGGGCTTTCCCTGCCACCACCCCCACTTTAGCACCAGTTTTAACTTTCGCGTTAAGGCTAACTTCTTCTGTGAAATCCTAGAACTTGCAGTCAGCAAGATCAGGTTGCCACGTTCTTTCTTGAAGGGTGTTTGGGTGGGATTTTCAGGAGCCTAAGGAAGTTAAGTCAATGGAGTTTGTGTGACTATATAAATGTGTATACATCAATATAGCAGTGCACTATGCAGAGCATATCCTTCTGAGAGTGACTAATGCCTCAGGGTAGTTTTAACTACCAGTAGAAATGGGATCCATCTTGAGGTTTACCCTGGTTATTTTGGTAAAATCTGGCATTCCTAGCCTTTTCAATGCAGGAAAGCACCACTGTCCCCACTGTACAGACAGAGAAATGCAGAGCCGGTAAGTGACTTACGGTCACCCAGCAAGCTGGGGACGGAGCTAAGAATGGGACAGGAACTGGGTTCCCAAGTCCCAGTCTTGTGGTCTGCCTACTAGACTCCGTTGCCTTCCTTTTGAAACTTGATACATTGACTAAGGGTATGTCTTCACTACCCGCTGGATCGGCGGGCAGCGATTGATCCAGCGGGGTTCGATTTATCGTGTCTAGTCCTGTACCTGAGCACCACAAGAAGCACAGGCAGAGTCGACGGGGGAGAGGCAGCAGTTGACTCACTGCGGTGAAGACACCACAGTAAGTCGATCTAAGTACGTCGACTTCAGCTACGTTATTCACATAGCTGACGTTGCGTAACTTAGATCGATCCCCCACCCCCTAGTGTAGACCAGGGCTCAGGCTCTCTTCATGCAAATCTCCACCCCACAACACTCGGCCTATTGATACTGGCACACAATTCTCAGTTACTTCAGTGGGAGCTGCTCGTGCCGATCTGAAAACAAGATTTAGCACAAGATCTTCTGTATCAAGATATCCACTACAGACAACTTAAAGACAATCCTGACAATCCTGTTTTTCCAGGAAGATGTCCATAGTGAGAAAGTAGGAAGGGAAAAAACAAGAACTGTCTCTCAGTAAAACTTTCCTAAGTTTCCCCATGAGGCTTCGATAGCAGCTTCAAGATACTGAATGCCTGTTCTCAGCAGGGGATGCTTATCCAGTTATGAAACAAGCAAAGTAATACAATTCAGCAACATTTGCTCTGTGTAACACTTCAGCTTATAGGCAGGGGAAAAGATCTATGCCAGTAACCAAAGCGAAATGTCAGTGCTATAGATTGGAGGGGGGGCAAAATCTAGGAACTGAGGAATTAAGGAGTATTACAGTAATTAGAGGCAAAAGACTCAATTAGATGAGTCCATCCCCTTGCGGTATCTCTATATATAATCCTTTAGACCACGCATGCAGCCCAGAAAACTATGAACAGACAAATACACTTGATCTTAGCAAGAGGACAGAGAGAAGCAACAGACGAATCACCATGTGCAAGATTTAGTCCTAATTGATCCAGCTACTTTTTAGTTTTAGTCAGGGGTGAAAGTAACTGAGGCCACTTACTGGTACAGGGCGGGGCGGCTCCAGCCTCCGGAAGGGGCAGGGCCTCAGGTGGAAGGGGCGGGGCTGGGCGATCAGCATCCCCCAGCCAGCCCTTTCAGTCCGGCTAGCCTGTGCCGCCCAGGGCTCCCGTGTTGATTTAAAGGGCCGGGGCTCTGCACACCGCTGCTGCTACAGCGGCAGTGGCGTCCGGAGCCCCAGGCCCTTTTAAATCGCCAGCCCCAGGGCAGCTGCTCCCTTTGCGCCCCCTCCCCCGCCCATTGGCGGCTGGGGGGGCCAAAGGGGGCAGGATCATTAAAGCGCCAATGGGGGGGGGGGGGAAAGCAACATTAAAGCACTGCAGCGGCAAAGGACCATCCCTGCCCCTTTTGCTTCCCCTGTCGGTGGCCCTGCCGGTACGGACCCTACCAGCAGGGCCGCCGACAGGGGAGGCAAAAGGGGCAGGGATGTTAAAGCGCTCCCACGACAACGCTTTAATGTGGGCTGGGTATGGGCCGGTGCAGCTTCTTCCCAGTACACAGGACCGGCCCCTACCAGCTCACGTTCACCCCTGGTTTTAGATTCATAACGTACACCAGCCAAAGAGTGACAGTTACAGCAATGGGAAATGGGTGAAGGGTTGTTCAGATTAAGGGCTGATATAGGGAACTGTCTGAGTGGGTGGAGGGAGCAAAGAGGAGGGGATTTAGTGGTGTTTTGAAGAGGGCTGGGAAAATCGGTCAAATGGGACAGTTCTCCACAGCCAGTAAGAATCAGCCTCCAATAGAACTGGAGGGGAAGGGGGAACTGAGCAGTGGTCAGAACTGGTGGAACAGATGAGGGAGTGTGGATTATGGCAAGACGATAAAGGTTTTGCAGGGGGAAGGTAGCCACTGGTGGAGGCCTCTCAGGAGAGCAACTATGCTGCAGCACACCAACCATGCTGAAAAAATGATTATTCTTACTTTAGCCCCTTTCAGCAAGTCCCTGAGTTACACAGACAGATACAAATGCAATACCGCCCTCTGGTCATGAATCTTGTTGCATCAATTCAACCTCAGAAAGGCCCACTCTTCTCACAATGGGATCGCCTTCATTGCTCGGCATTTGTCCAATAAAAAACATTTGCTAGGAGCATGGGTTGAAGTGGTCCAGTCACAGCAGTTCAATAAGAAGGTGCTTTTCAATGGGGCACCGTCTTTGCACCAGAATGTATGCTTGCATTTAGCCCCCCACTTTCCAAGTCTCTCAACCTTGTGGTTGTGAAGCCCTCCCTAATGTAAATGGATGCAGTGACGCCTGCCCAGTTATGCAGACAGCCTGAAACAGCAGCTGTGAGAATGCTGACTGAGTTTTAAATCCGATGCCTAATGACAATACAAATAATCTCTATGTCAGCCATTTTCCCGTTGATCAAAGAGTGTTAAGAAAACAGGGCTGTGATTATGAGGATCTCCACAGAATACTGAAGGAGCAGCTGGGGTTGCGGGTGTCAGTTGGAGCGACTGCCACTACTCATTTTAACCACCACTTACCATTTGTTTTAACCTCAGCTTGTTTTAATCAGTCTGACCACTGGTTAGTGGATCTGAACTCTTAATCCCTTCTGCCCTTCTCCCCAGTTCAAAGCAGGGTTTCCTTTATTTTAATTCAGTTCTACAGCTATTGGATGTTTATCTCTAGTAAAGGGTTTGAAAGCGCCTAAGACCCATTAACTTGCAATGAGACTTATGTTTCTAAGGCCTGATCTACACCTAAAAATGTGATCAATCTAGCGGCATCGCTAAAGGCTGTGAAAAATTTTGTGCCCTGTGCCACATAGTTAGAGTGACATAACCCCCACCGTACAATTCTTCCATTAGCCTAGCTACCACCTTTTCGGAGAGGTGGATTACCTACACTGATTACCTACCCCTTCTGTTGAGGTAGGACGCATCTACACTACGGTGCTACGGCGGCACAGCTGCAGTGCTTTAGCTGTGCCGCTGTAGTGTGGACATACCCTCGGTCACTTAGGGCTTGTCTTCACTGCAAAGTTGTAACTTGTTCCCCATTCACACATACAAACCCTTCACTCGAGTGTGGTGCTTGTAAATCAAGTTGGCTGGCCCATAAGGGGGCTCAGGCTGCAGCTCGAGTTAGCACAACTCATTAGCTGCTCACATGACCATCCTGTAGTGTGGATGAAGGCTAGTTCCACTTATGTGCCACTAGTCCTCCAATGCCTTCCCATAATTCTTCTCCCCCACCCAACCGTCCTCATGAAGGGACAGACAAGCTCCTCCACAATTCACTGGGAGATAATTCATAGAGTGGCTCTGCTTAACTGCAGTGCCAAGAACTGTGGGACGGCCCCCAGAATTCTTAGACCCACACACAAGTGAGTGCAGCACCTGAGTGGACAAAGCAGCTCGCATGCTATTTTGCAGGGTGGCTGCTCTCACTCAAGCTAGGCTAAAATTGAGAGAAGTAACTCAAGCGTAGATAACTCAAGTTAATTCTGCAGTGAAGACACGTCCTTCAGCACTTTTGCAAGAGTTACCCATTGTGTTTAAATGAGAGACAGAGCATCCTGTTACGTGGGAGAAGAATCTCCATAGCCCCTGATAATGATCATGCCTTGATACTGCAATCTGAGATGGGCACAAACTAAAACCCACATTCTGGTTTGGATCAAGGTTTCAGCTCAGAACTTTAGCACGACCGTTCCAGACACCAAAACAGACACCCTGAGCTTTGGTAAAGTTCAGCTCCATTTAGGCTTTTGCTTCCCTCCATTATAGAGACTGGCTCATGTACTAAAAGGATTGGATCATGTTTTTGTCTGGGGGAGAGGGGAGGAGAGGAACAATCTACTACAGTTGTAATTTCATAGATGCAATTAGGATCCCAGCCTCTGCATTCCAAGAAGTGCTGCAAAGTCAATTAGACAAGCTGCCTCTAGAGGGCAATTTTAAGTTGCTAGGATGTTACACAGCAACTATTACTCTAGGGCCTGGTCTACATTTACAAGTTGGGTCCACATAACTACGGCACTCAGGGACGTGAAAAATCCACACTCCTGAGCGCTGTAGTTAAGCCGAACTAAGCCCCAGCATAGACACAGCTATGGCGATGGAAGAATTCTGCTGTCAATCTAGCTACTGCTATTTGGGAAGGTGGATTACCCACATAGACAGAAAAAATATCTTCCATCACTATAGGAAGGGTCTACACTACGGCGCTCCTGTGGCAAAGCTACATGGCCTCGCTTTTCAGTAGTTAGAGCTGCTAGCTCTCTGGTGCCATCAGGGACGGTGGCAGGCAGTCAGTGAAACACGAGTCAAATGTGCAGAGCTTTTACATAGGACTTATTTGTCATGCAGACTTTCCCCAGTTTACTTGTGCCTTTATCACAACATTTCACTCCTCTCTTCTACAACCATATCTCGAGAGACCGGAAGGGGAAGGAGCAGAAACAAATGCTGCTTTGAATTTTCAGGTCACAGAGGTGGATCACGATTTTTTTAAAAATATCTCTAAAGTTTGGAACGGGCTCAGTTCTCTGTTATTGGGGCAAGTTAGGACCCAAAAGTTTAGTCAAAGCTTTGCCTGCTGTTTTGGGTGGAAAGAGCAGTTTTCCAAGGTTCCCCTCAGAAGCCATAAGATGGCATAGGACATCTTGAAATGCTATGAGCCTGGTTCAGAGAGATTGTTCTGTGTGCACATTTCACCAAGTTTGGCTACAGAAATTTCATGCTACTAATAGGGGTTGTAGGAACTTAATACTTCTCCCAGGCTAGTTTTCCCAAGAATTCTGCCAGTGACCAGTGTTATGGCATGGAGATGGGTCAAGCAGACTCACCTTTATCCCCTCGATTCTGAATCCCAGTGTTGCTGTAGAACTAATGGTCTCCCTCCACTGCATGTATCGGGGCTTGGTTACTGCATGCAGGGCATTCTCCTCCTCGGTTGGGGCATTGGGATCTACTTCAATCATCTTCTGATACATGTCCTTCCGCAGGTTTGGCTTCTTTCTGGCCTTTGTTAGCTCTTCCTCCAAATACGTTCTGCAAAGGAGGCAGAAAGATTATTAGCAGTTGACGTTAATAGCACTGAGGAGGGACGGCACTCCTTACTAAGGGACTGATCCCCCAATATAGTCCGTAACAGGAAGTCCAAGTGCCTTCAACTCCCATTGACTTCACTTGGAAGCGAGGGCACTCAAGGTCCTCACAGGACTAAGACCTAAAAAGGCAGTGTCATACGGGCAATTTCCAAAGAACAAGAACCCCCAACACCTGGGGTTGCAATAAATGTGTATACAGGCCTCCCATGCCCAGGAGCCTCAGGCCATGTAACTCATGAACAGGTTCTGCAAACAAAAACTCAACATTAGCAACCTGAGACGCGGTACAGGAAAAGTCCATCTGCTACCTTCAGTTACACCAAGAAAGCAGATACTGAAGGCAAATGCAGCATACACAGAAAAGCTTTTTTATTTCCAGCACACCTGCCATCATTCAGAGCTCAGCCCACAGACAAACATTACAATTCAGGAGCAACCCCAAAATGGTCCAATTTATAACATGTTCCAAGGGCTGGCTCAGTAGGAGCTGCTCTGCCATTTGCAGAGAGGGGCCAAGAGAAACACAAGACACTTGTACTGCAGTAGTGCCTAGAGGCTACAGTCAGAATCAGAGCCCTGCTGTGTCAGGCACTGCATAGTTAGCAACAGTCCTTGCCCCAGAAAGCATGTACCTGAGATAACAGAAGATATCCAGGGAGTAGCTGCCTATAGAGAAATGTTAAGACATTAACCTACATAAGACTTGTTTAACTGATCCTGCACAGTTTAGTACCCCAACCTTTCATCCTGTTGCAAATACTTCAGACATTCTGAATTTACTCAGGATTCAAAATTAATATGGCTAAAATCAGATTAGTTCCTCCACTCAGCCTATCCTTGCGGCCCCACAGTTCCCTCCTGACAGGTATGAGTGGGCTATGGGGACTGAGGCAGGCCAGTAATACCTCTGCCAGATCTATTCCAACACAGCTACCCTTCTCTCACTGCGAAATATCTAACAGGACTCCGGTACATTAGATGGTGTCATCTTCTGATCAATGGGTAGAGTTGACATAACTGAGAGGTAACTCTATGGGGATTTGCTGAAGCAAGTCAAAGATATCAGGGAAACAGATGACCATGTTCGGTCCTGGATAAATACTGGATAAGCTCAGGATGCCGCTGATGTGGTATTTAAGAGCTGTAGGTTTTCTCCACCAACGGACCGGTCCTGTGAGGTAGTAAGCACCTCTCCTGTCCAAGTCCTGCCACATCTTCCTCTCCCTCATTCCAAAGATCAGCCTTCAGCTAAAACTGTCTGGGCCCTAGGGTGACCAGACAGCAAATGTGAAAAATCGGGACAGGAGGTGGTGGGTAATAGGAGTCAATATAAGAAAAAAGACCCAAAAATCAGGACTGTCCCTTTAAAATCAGGACATCTGGTCACCCTACTGGGCCCTCACCACTCCAGTTACTGTAACCTCTTCTGAGGCCCCCCACAACACCCCCTCCAGCCCATACAGAAACTCAGTCAGTGGGATCATTTTCCATGACCACTGATCTGGCCACTGCGCAACTGCATCAGGTTTTTGCAATCACCTTCAAGGCCCTACTTCCACTCAAGCCTCAGACCCTTAAGGTGCACCAAATCAGTGTCATCAACGAGAGGGGGGAGGTTTTCTCTTTCACTCAACCCTTCTCCTCTGGAATAATTTAGGAGCAGATTACTCAAGGTTTGTCTTGGATAACCAGTTTGGAACGCTGAGCAAACCTAAACAAGGAGTTATTCTCCCGAGCTAAATGAAGCTTTCAAAATGTGCTCTGTCAACAGACCATGTGCCATGGAAACTGACACAATTCAAAAAGAGAGAGAGAGAAGTTGCTACATCCCAACATTTGACTGTTAACAGCATCTGATGTTCCCTTTGAGAATCAGCTGACATGCTTTGATTTTTGTTGAAGTCTGTCTTGTGCTTTTTGGTACATGACCCTTCCCCCTCACCGCACACCACGTTGTGCTGCAGCAAACAGGGTATTAAACAGGATGTTTTCATACAAAGCTGTTTCAAGATAGCTTAGTTCATCTGGTATTAGTCTGTTTCAGTGGGACTATCAAGGAGGCATAAACCTGTTCCCACTCCTGTAAAATGCAGAGCAGAGTGAAGAGGTGTAACTTTGAACAGGTCTGTAGGATTCATAATGGAAAACAATGAGACAACTGGGAGGGGCTGGAGTGTGTGTTCCTCCATTGGACATATATGTCCTTTTCCATAGATTTTATTGTTCTGGGTCCCATTTATCTGAAATTCTGTTCTCTGAAGAAGACATACAGAGTGTTTATTACCCTTGCTGTGGATTTTGGCCAGTCATCTCACAGTGATAACTGTGATAAATCGGGGAATTGGCAACAAAGTCTTACAGCTGTTTTCAGTCAGCCTCCAGACAGATGTAAGCTGCCACTTCCTAGAGAAACCCGCGGGCGGAGAAAGGGCAGGCGCCTCTAGGACAGGGTGAAAATGCTGAGATAGGATCTGCTCAGTCACAAGCAACAGCTAAGACCTGCCTTTGGATAAGTCCCTCTCAGAACAAACACTTTTGCCATCATCTGTTGAACTAACAAGATCTGCTAAGGAATAAACTCTGTGCAGGGTTTGGCTTCTCCACTGCTCTTTACGAAGGCCCTGTTGTCACAGTTTACAGCACTGGTTTGGGCTCTATAGGTGGGCTTGGAAGGATTTGATTTTTATCTGCAAACGTCCAATTTCACTGTACACACACACACGCACAAAGTGACACAAAAAATCTTTCCATCGATGATCAACAACATTTATAGCTCGGCCAAGTAAAAAAACTGCCGCTTGAGAACTTACTAAAGTCTGATTTAAGGATATTTACTTCACATATTTTGACGTGTGATGTTGACAATTTGTGTTTTAATGGTTATGAAGGTTGACCTTTCTATATCTCAATGTCTATTATCATGAAATAATTATTTCTAACACCTCCATTGTTGCTCCCCACCCCCCGCCCCAGCCCCAGAATTTCCCACCTCTGTGAAAATTTAAATAGCTAACAATAGAAAAAATGCTTACAAATACACATTGGTGATATTATCAATCAAAATTATAAATACATACAAATCAAATTCTACCCCTTCCTCTGGTAGCAGAGACATTCAATAACCTTCACCATTTGCTGCTTCCTAAACAGAGGACTTGTTCATGATATCTGGCCTTAATCTTCCAACTCATGGTTCCCCCATCCTTCCCCCCAGGACTTGCCCCCAATGGTAAGTTTCACTCTAGAAACACATGTGAATCAGTATTTCACAAGCTATAATCCTCAAAGCCCACCTGAAGTAGTAAAGATTCTAAAAAAATCATTTAACCTACCCCGTGAAAATGCATCTCGCTCTGGGGCAGCCATTTAAGAGTTTAGGAGAGCAGATGGAAAGCCACCCAGTTGAAATGCAGCAGGAAATCAGGAAGGCAGAATGTAATTACCACAATGTGAATCTGGCCAGAACACAGAGGTTATTCATAAAGTCCAACCATATCTAATAGCTACAAGGGATCAAAACCTTGATTTTACATCTCCAGAATAGCAGAACAGGGCCTTCTAACACAATTGTAGGAAATTGCTTTGACACTGACTGAGCAAAAGCATCATCTACTGAAATTCCACTCCCTATAGCAGAGGTGGGCAAACTTTTTGGACCAAGGGCCACATCAGGGTATGCAAATTGTATGGCAGGCCATGAATGCTCACGAAATTGCAGGCTCTGGGGTGGGGCCAGAAATGAGGAGTGCAGGGTGCGGGAGGGGGCTCCGGGCTGGGACACGTGGGGTGGGGTGCAGCGGGGGAGGAGGAGGGCTCCAGATGGTGGTGCAGGCTCTGGGGTGGACTCGGGGATGATGGGTTTGGGGTGCAGGAGGGTGCTCCAGGTTGGAACCACGGGTTCGGAGAGCAGGAGGGAGATCAGGGCTGGGGAAGGAGGTTGGGGTACGGGTGTGTGTGGCTCAGGGGTGCAGGCTCCGGGAGGCACTTACCTCAAGCAGCTCCCAAAAGCAGTGGCATGTCCCCCCTCTGGCTCCTACATGGAGGTGCAGCCAGGCGGCTCTGCTGCGTGCTGCCCCATCTGCAGGCACCGCCCCTGCATCTCCCATTGGCCGTGGTTCCCAGCCAATGGGAGCTGCAGAGGCGGTGCTTAGGGCGGGGGCAGCATGTGGAGCAGAGCCCCCTGGCTGCCCCTATGCGTAGGAGCCGGAGGGAGGTCATGCCGCTGCTTCCGGGAGCCGCGCAGAGCAGCCCCCGACCCTGTGCCCTGGCTGGAGCGCCGGAGCGGGGCAAGCCCCAGACCCCGCTCCCCAGCGGGAGCTCGAGGGCCGGATTAAAATGGCTTGTGGGCCGGATGCGGCCTGTGGGCCATAGTTTGCCCACCTCTGCCCTATAGCATGGTTTTTGGAAGTCTCTCTGCCAGCTACTGTCTCAGTTCAATCCTGTTTTGTACTGGGATCCTGTCAGAGTCGAAGTAGTTTGGTATGGCAGATTGGATACACCAGCAAGACACAATGAAGCAAATAACCCTGCTGTATCCCTTCATATCCAAAGACCAGTTACAACAAAGCTATTCTCTTAGGTAGCTAAGGACTAGCTCTCTGCAGATGGGCCATGCTTTCTTTCTGTCTTGCGTATGCCCAGGAAGTGGTGCTCAATGGGTGCTTTACTTCCACATCTCAAGTAGAACGCAAGGGGGCGTGTGCTAGAGAGAATATGTGGGACGGGGTTTATGCGTATTTCTCATGGGACCTTGCTAGGCTAGATTATATCTGTTTCAGAACCAAGGCATCTGATCACATGGCAGGACATTACCAGAGCCTCCTCTCTTTTAAAACCTCACCTGAAACGAAGTGGCGAAGGGCTGTGGCTTCAGTTAGCATGTGACTTTTGGGTGGGAGGAGGGAGTGGGCAGTATGGTCTGAAATACTCCCCCTCCGAGCATAGTGAGGAGTCCAGAGTCTCTTAATCTGTGGATACCCTTCCCTCCCCCTCTTAGTCTCCCCTAGGCTTTATCCATCACTTTATCCTGTGCCCCAACAAATTTGATTTTAGGTTGAAGGTAACTGGAGGAGGCCGCTGCCTTCCAAAGCAAGGTAATATTGCTTCTCACTTGGAAAGAAGAAGGGTGGTAAGGCGTAAACAAGCAGTCTCTTCCTGCACCCACAACATTGCATGGTTTGAGAGTAGCAGCTGTGTCAGTCTGTATCCGCAAAAAGAAAAGGAGGATTTGTGGCACCTTAGAGACTAACAAATTTATTTGAGCATAAACTTTCATGAGCTATAGCTCACTTCATCAGATGCATGCAGTAGGGAGTACACTATCTTCACAGCACTGCTAGAGTGGGAAAACCCACAGCTCCTGCTTGGCTGGGAATAGCCAACAGCTCAGCTCAGAGGAATGCTTTAACCTTCTGTGGTGCAACATATTTGAGGAGATAAGCCTGAACCAAAATCCCATTTCTGACAAGCCAGAGTATACGTCTCAATCCTTTGGTTTGGACCCTTGCTATCTAGATTCTGAAATCCTCTGCTAGCCACTGAACATTGTAAACTTCATGTAGCTGCAATTATGGGTATAAGCCTTATTTTGTATTGTGGTAACACCTAGGGACCCTGAGCAGCTATTGTGTTAGGAGCTGTACACAGCTGGAAGTAGACAGTTCTCTCTTTATTTTGCTAGCATGTGGAGGCCGCAGTCAGCAAGCCAGGTCCAGTGCAGATGCAGCCACAGCACCGCAGCTGCCTAGCCACTGTGGAGATCCTGTCCCAGAGGCATTAAGAGTTGAAAATGCAATTTGCTTTCCTCATTGAGCCTCCATTGGTAAGCTTTAGTGTGCACCTTTTTGCACCATTATGTATATTTTAACACAAATGCTGTTTTGACTCCACTGTATTGCAGATCTCCCCTGAAAGTCAAGCTCTAGCTACCTGCTCGGCAATCACATACAGATGATTTTGCCTAATTCCACCCACTGATAACAGTGTGGCAAAGGGATATACAGCCCCTTTCACAACTTCCTGCACTGCTGTAGCCTCCTGGCTTGTCAACGACACCAGCACAGACCAGGCTTACAGGTCTTACTGCCAGTGCAAGCAAATTTTAAGGAAATGATCTTCCGTAACCTCCTTGACGAGGATGTGCTCTTTTGGGCAAAGCATTGGTTAACCCTGCTCAGAATATTTTTCTACTTGTTCATGCAGTAACTTGAACTTCATTCCCCTTCTGTGAAGCAGAGGCCAAGCAAAACAGTGCAGCAGAACAGCCTGCCTCCTTTCAGAGATACAAAGAACAGCACATAGGCAGAGATACTAGGACAGTGGGTTTTCTTGTGGGGGCGTGTGAACAAGATTTAATTAAAAAGAAAAGGAGTACTTGTGGCACCTTAGAGACTAACCAATTTATTTGAGTATAAGCTTTCGTGAGCTACAGCTCACTTCATCGGATGCATACTGTGGAAAGTGTAGAAGATCTTTTTATACACACAAAGCATGAAAAAATACCTCCCCCCACCCCACTCTCCTGCTGGTAATAGCTTATCTAAAGTGACCACTCTCCTTACAATGTGTATGATAATCAAGGTGGGCCATTTCCAGCACAAATCCAGGGTTTAACAAGAACGTCGGGGGGGGGGTAGGAAAAAACAAGGGGAAATAGGCTACCTTGCATAATAACTTAGCCACTCCCAGTCTCTATTCAAGCCTAAGTTAATTGTATCCAATTTGCAAATGAATTCCAATTCAACAGTTAATTGTCAGCCCAGGGGACAGACCCACTCCCCATTTCCTTCAAGTTACACTTCAACCCATGCCGGGGGGGAGGGGGGATGCCTCTAGCTTGGAGACTGCCAGCATTCCATTACCTGCATTCCTCCCCCACCCCCTCTGGAGGGGAGTATGGGTTTTGTGTCTGACAGTCTGACATGCCAGTTCATGTTTCACATCAGGAGTTCAAAAGGGGAAGAAGAAGAAGAAGGAAAAAAATAAATTCCTCTCTTCCCTCAGCTTTTCCAGAAAGCATAAGCATCTCTACCACATCTAAGCTTTAAGCTTGTCCTTCACAGGGATCTAAAATCCAAGCTGGCTAGTGGTTTATATCTGGCCTGAATCTGCATACTGGCTTTAGGTTTCAACATAAAAACTTAAGAACCTGATCCTGCAATGCTTGCCCATGTGTAATCCTTACTCATTCAAATAATCCCATTGAAGTCAACAGGACTAGTTCCATGATTAAGGTCTGCATAGCTAAGTGTTTGCAGGATTGAATTTTAATAGTTCGTATATGGGTTCCAAGAAAGACTAGTTTCAGAGTAACAGCCATGTTAGTCTGTATTCGCAAAAAGAAAAGGAGTACTTGTGGCACCTTAGAGACTAACCAATTTATTTGAGCATAAGCTTTCGTGAGCTACAGCTCACTTCATCGGATGCATACTGTGGAAACTGCAGAAGACATTATATACACAGAGACCATGAAACAATACCTCCTCCCACCCCACTCTCCTGCTGGTAATACTTTTCTTTTTAAGAAAGACTAGGATACTTATGCTCACTCTTTGTGAAAGGCTTCAGGATTCACTGATGAAGGACAGAGTAGAATATTACATACTCATTTCAGAAAAAAGAAAAGGAGGACTTGTGGCACCTTAGAGACTAACCAATTTATTTGAGCATGAGCTTTCGTGAGCTACAGCTCACTTCATCGGATGCATACCGTGGAAACTGCAGCAGACTTTATATACACACAGAGAATATGGAACAATACCTCCTCCCACCCCACTGTCCTGCTGGTAATAGCTTATCTAAAGTGATCATCAAGTTGGGCCATTTCCAGCACACTTTATCACTTTAGATAAGCTATTACCAGCAGGACAGTGGGGTGGGAGGAGGTATTGTTCCATATTCTCTGTGTGTATATAAAGTCTGCTGCAGTTTCCACGGTATGCATCCGATGAAGTGAGCTGTAGCTCACGAAAGCTCATGCTCAAATAAATTGGTTAGTCTCTAAGGTGCCACAAGTCCTCCTTTTCTTTTTGCGAATACAGACTAACACAGCTGTTACTCTGAAACCACTCATTTCAGAGTAGCAGCCGTGTTAGTCTGTAGTCACAAAAAGAAAAGGAGGACTTGTGGCACCTTAGAGACTAACCAATTTATTTGAGCATAAGCTTTCATGAGCTACAGCTCACTTCATCAGATGTACTGTATCCAAAAGAGCATGCAAGAGCAAGTGCGAAGTAAGGGAAAGGATTAAAAGCTGTTTGAACTCAGATCTAAAGTGGAGAGTCTCAGGCAGAGATACAAGAAGGCTGACAGCTAGCACCAAGGCCTTCGCTGCAGCTTGAATGGGCTACAGCCACACATGGAGTACACATATGCCCCGATGTTTTCATTGGGGCATCTCCCAGAACATGAGCTGTCCTGATAGACCTTGTCTCAGCACGCTAGAATATACTTTGATAGTGTAAAACATTAGGTGGTAAATGCTGTTCTTCCTTCAGAGAGGGGTGCAACTCCCTGGTGCTCTTCACCACAGAGCCAGAGGTGGGTGTGCAACAGCACTGCTTGTGTTTTAGTCTAGGTGTGTGATGTCCAAGAAATGCTACCCCTGCCTGGACTTAAGGCAACTTGTGGTGGGAGCTCCCAAGCAGGGCTCTCTCACTGTGTCTCACCTCTTTTTAAAGCTGCTTCATTCAAGGATCTCTATTCTGACCCCTATACAACTCCTGAAATGTGCCCCCCCCTTAGATCAGTGCCCCTTGTGGCTGAGAGAGCAGGGCAAGGTACTGTCTCAAAAGTGCCACCCCCAGACCTCTGGAACAGAAATGGGCTACTAGTGCAGACTGATGCAACAGCCCCCTGCAGCTCCAAGCAATCCACTTTCACAGTACACTACAGTCACCAGCATGTGACTGCAGGACTCTGTTCCACCATTTCCCAGCCCAGGTTTCCTCTTGTGTCTCCCACCCACACCCGCTTGGCTTCCCTCTCTAGAGCCCTGGGCAATAGTCATCCATGGCCAGGTGAGCCTGTCAGAGTAGCCAGTTTGCTCTGGATAGTCTTTACTCGGGTATTATGTTGCTTTAAGCACTGGATTTGGATTCTTGAACTCAGGCTGCTCCTTTCTACTCAGTTACAAGCCAATGCACCTAGCAGCACTAACCTGACTCCCATCTTGCAGTCCATAACGCAGGGGGAGTCAAATTCAGCCAGCAGGTCTTCCATCTGATTGTACCGCTCCCCATCCTTCACCACGTCTCCATGGTAGGCAGGAACAAAGGGCTTAAGGACATCGTTCATCAAGCGGTCCAAGCACCGCTGCTCAGATTCACAGTGCTTCTTGAGTATCCTGCCATTGGCTGCAGCCTTGAAGCTACCTGAGAGACAAAAGGCAACACAGTGCTTACTCGGGTGCAGACCCTTCACAGAGGAAAGCAGGCAGAGAGTCATGAAGCCTCAAGCCCCTGCTGACATCCCCACCCAGAACAATCAAGGCATAATGAACTGCTACTGAGTGTTACATAAGAAAAGGAGGACTTGTGGCACCTTAGAGACTAACCAATTTATTTGAGCATAAGCTTTCGTGAGCTACAGCTCACTTCATCGGATGCATCAGTATCAAAAGTTAACAGGATCTGACATGACAGACCTCAAGTGAGAGTCAAAGCTATATGTACTACTCTTACTACTCATTTGGGGGGACTCTATCACTCCTTTCCCGGCCCCCGAACCACTGCCTCTAATCATGGTAGCTTCCAGGGCCTGATGAAGGAGAGTAACACCCCCACACATGGCTAAGCGGCAGAGTTTGAACTTGGAACCTTCATCAGCCGAGCACAAACCTCTACTGCTTGAGTGACAGGAGTAACTCCAGCATCGGGCAGCAGGGATAACACTACACTTCACAAGCATGCCCACACTGGGATCTCCTTCATCTCCACATGATGCAATGTAGCATTTAGATCAGTCCCTCCCTCAAGGCCCTGCTTCCCCAGAGACAGATTCAAGGTGTGAGCACTTAATGAGTGTCACAGAGACAATTGAGGCCAACACAGCTGATTAACTGAACAATCAGGAGACTTCCCAAATCTTCATTAGTCTCACACCATAGAGGGTTCCCTTGATGACACGGCACAGCTCAACCTTCCATACCTGCATGCCCTGCTAGTTGAATCCAAGGATACTTTTTCTTGAAGGACATAACAAAGGGGGACCACTGCACCATATTTTTGATCTTCCGCCATGACTTGCTCTAAGGAAACAGAGAAAGGCATATAGTGGATCAATTTTTTGCTGTTCATAAAACTGGCTCAGAGAGCAAGTTTGTGGATTTTGGGGACCAGGGAAAAGAAAGACAACACTAAAGGGTGGAAGAGAAAGGAGCACAGGGAACACTGTTCCTCACCTTTCTCTTCTGCTCCTGTGCCAGGCTGGGCTAGTAGCAAATAAGTCACTGGATCTCAATTATCAATTCACATTGGCATAAATCAAGAGCAACTCCATTGAAGTGAATGGAATTTTAGTTTTACACTGATGAAAGCAGAATCAGGCCGACTGGCTCAGGAGAGTACCCATCTGCATTACGTACAGGAGAGTCACCTGCTATCCTCTCTCTATCTCTTAAATTTCCCCTTTAGGAGAGGACAGGCTGTCAGCTCATTTCTGGAGTGCACCCTGGACAGCTCATGAGTTAGAATTCTAGGAGTCCTAATAAGATTTTGCAGGTATGCCAGCTTTTGTCAGGCTGGCAAAACTCCACTTCAGATCCACAAGCGAGAAGCCTATTTTTGTTCCCACTGGAAGACAGCTGCTTTGGTCATTAAGTACTGAGTCCGTGAGTGTCTGATTGATGAGCCAAACCCAAGGAGTCAGCACATTTGAGAAAACAGTTCGCTTCTGACATATGGTATTTGTTGTTAGATAGATTTATTAGTATAAATACTTGTGTGAACCAAGGCGGGGCTGTACTCAAACATAGGAAAGCCTCTTTCAAAGACGCAGTCTTTCCTGAAGAAAGTTGTTTTCCCTAGATTGTTCTGATGGAACACACAGCTAGTAAGAGGCAGAGATATTTCTTATCTCAATACCAGAAGGCTGTGCAAACAATCTGTGCAGGCTATATACAACAACAACAATGGAAAAATGCCTAATTGCACAAGATGAGACAACCAGTGCTTTTGTCCTGGCGTCTCGGGAGCAATTGAGTTCAGCTTGGAAGTGCACATTAAAGTTACCTTCATTTGCTCAACCTTAAAAATGCACGTAGGAGAGCAGCTAGCTCATTCTCTACAGTCTGGAGAACCAAGTTTCATTCCCTATCGGTCTGCAAGGGATGAACGAGCAATCCAACATCCCCAGTCCTTAGGGCATTTACTTGGGGTGAAGTCACAGGCCAGAACCAGGCACCTAATATTGCAGCCAATGCATTTAGGGAGAGGGAATTGATCTGGGTACAGAAAACTGGTAAAAGTTTTTAATTTCCTAAGCCATCCTGCTGAAAGTCACCGTTGTATGAGTTTGGACCACTGCACACATCAAGGTTGCTAAGAGCAGCTGTATGAAGTCTTAGCAACAGAGAAACACAGATGTGGGGTGGCCACTTATCTGAAGCTCTGAACTCAGTTTTGAGACGGCAGGTTCTCTTACTATCTTGGTGTGATTTTATAGAGTGCAGGGCCATTGGCATTAGAAGTATTAACATTAAACCACAAGAAGCATGCACTAGATTATGCCATTTAAGCATGGACCCAAGGAAGGGGGAGTGTGAATCTGCTTTGCCTCCAGGGGTAGCCATATGCAAGAGAGAACAGGCTGCATCAGATTTTAGACTGACCTTACAAAGGGAGTAAGGGTGAGGTAGGGCCAGGTACCCTTAGAATCACAGAATCATAGACTTTAAGGTCAGAAGGGACCATTATGATTGTCTAGTCTGACCTCCTGCACAATGCAGACCACAGAATCTCTCCCACCTGTAACAAACCTGTAATCTCTCCCACTCCTGTAACAAACCCCTAACCTATGTCTGAGCTATTGAAGTCCTCAAATCGTGGTTTAAAGACTTTGAGGTGCAGAGAATCCTCCAGCAATTGACGTGTATCCCACGCTGCAGAGGAAGGCGAAAAACCCCCAGGGCCTCTTCCAATCTGCCCTGGAGGAAAATTCCTTTCTGAACCCAAATATGGCGATCAGCTAAACCCTGAGCATGTGAGCAAGACTCACCAGCCAGACACCCAGGAAAGCATTCTCTGTAGTAACTCAGATTCCACCCCATCTCACATCCCAACACAGGCAACTGGGCATATTTACCACTAATAGTCAAAGATCAATTAATTGCCAAAACTAGGCTATCCCATCATACCATCCCCTCCATAAACTTATGAAGCTTAGTCTTGAAGCCACCACTGCTTCCCTTGGAAGGCTGTTTCAGAACTTCACTCTGATGGTTAGAAACCTTCGTCTAATTTCAAGTCTAAACTTCCTGATGGCCAGTTTATATATGTTGTTCTTGTGTCCACACTGGTACTGAGCTTAAATAATTCCTCTCCCTCCCTGGTATTTATCCCTCTGATATATTTATAGAGAGCAATCCTATCTCCCCTCAGCCTTCTTTTGGTTAAGCTAAACAAGCCAAGCTCTTTGAGTGTCCCTTGTGGGACATAGTGAGAGAGCAGTCCCTGCACTCCATGGGGTGTCAGGCTCTTGTATGGGATGCACAATGGAGGGAGGGGACAGGGAGGAGGACAGGGAGATGCGTGTACCATCTCTCCTGCCAGAGTGCATGGATTAGTCACTAACCCTCTAAGTAGTTATTGGGGAATCAGGGGTGTCAGTCTGGTCCTGGGCTTGTTTATAAACCAAACGTTTGTCAAGGAAGCTTCCAAACCATTAAGATCACCAGGGTCCTTGGTCTCTTTTGCACTTTGCTGTTCAGGATTTAATTATTCAAGCTGCAACTTTGTCAGGTTGGATCAAGAATGCAGAAGGCAGCTCCCTACTTGACATGTGGATGAATGCTTTCTTTCCAAGTAAAATGCCAGAAGTTGTGTGCTTTGGCTGTTCTTTGTTCTCTCTTGGCAGAGTGCACAGGGGCTTTCCCCCTCCTTTTGTTTTCAAAATAGTAACATTAAGTTCTGATTGTCACTGATTGATTGATTGATTGATTTAAAAAAGGACTCCAGTCTGCAAGTTAGGCTTCAGATCAATGCGACCCAACTTGTCTAAAATAAAAGGGGGAATCCTCCCACCAAGGCAGAAACATAAGTCACTCAGTCCCAGGATACAAGCCAAGGCAATGATTGTTCTCGAGCCAAGATTTTGTTTTTCGGTGCTTAGAGGTTTATAGCAAAAGCCTTGATGGATTTCAAAGCATGAGCTAAACAATGCCAAGTGACTCCTGGAGTATCCCAATGCCTTCCCCAGCAGAGGCTTTGAGAGATATCCAGATAAGTCTTGCTCTGTCAATTCTGTCTGATTTCTTCCCTTACACCAGAACAGAAGGCCTTATTAGCAAAGAAAATAGAGTTCTCACAACTCTGGGATGGGCTAAACCCCTGCCCCTGGCAACTGTTTAACCTATTGTGCTAACTAGCGGGCACTGAACCGACAGAGTGCACTTTCTATTCAGTTAAGCAAGATAGGGACCTAATGGCCAGCTGAACCAGGGTCCAGTGTTGCCGGTCCTCAGCATGTCTACAAAGCACAGCACATTCCCGCTACTTTACATCCCCAGGAAATGGTTCAGATGCAAATCTAGGACAGGTGTTTGCAAGCCACACTTAAGTGCACAACCTGTTTTTAGAGTTACTGCTTTTCCAGCAGGCTTGCACACACTAAACAGTACCTCAAACCCTGCCAAGCAGTCAGACCCTTCATCCAATCAAGGAGGTGCCACGATGGGGGGAAGAACCTAAAGTGTTACTGAGTGGCCTTGTATTTCAGGGGCGGAGATGTTTACTTGGAGCGGCTGTGCAGAGGATTTTGAGTAGAGTGGCAATGTTTGTATCAAGCTGCAGAAGTCAGCTCTTGTTAAATTCAGATGACCTTGGTGAAGCAGGAGTATATTTGTGTGCCTATTGTTAGGATATAGATATTCAGGCCTGTCTATAAAGGCCTATACTCTTAAGAATTTAGGTGTATTCTTATCACTTAGCTAGTTACAGAGGTATAAAAGAAAGAATCAAAATCACTGTCTGCTGGTGTAAGGGCCTTCTCTTACTGTGACAGTCTGAGGCCCTGTTCTCAGGCTAACATCTCTGGCTAAGCAGCAGAGGCAGCCATAAGCTGGGAAGCGACTGGTCACATCCTCACATTCCAAACTAGTCACATTGAAATAAGGCAATATGGAGCTGTTGGAAAGGTGATTTGATCTATCACCTCCAGAGAAAGGGAAGAGCCTAGAGGATATAAAAGGAAGTTTAGTTTGATAGTTTTCTGTTTGGTAAGAACTCACTTATCAATAGACACAGCTGGGAAACCCTTATGTCTTTATAGATGTAGTTGTGAAATCCTCACTTCTGTATTGTTTTGTTATTATAGTTCCCACTTTGCTATTGTTTATTTGCATGGTCTCTGTCTGGTTCTGTGATTGTTTCTGTCTGCTGTATAATTAATTTTGCTGGGTGTAAACTAATTAAGATGGTGGGATATAATTGGTTAAATAATCATGTTACAATACGTTAGGATTGGTTAGTTAAATTTCAGTAAAATTATAGGTTTAGGTAAAGCTATACAAGTTTTACTATATAGTCTGCAGTCAATCAGGAAGCAAGGGGGAAATGGGAACGGAATGGGGTGGGAAAATTGGAATCATGTTTTGCTGGGGGGGGGGATGGAAACAGGGACACAGGTAAGGCTCTGTGGTGTCAGAGCTGGGAAGGGGAACACTAAGGAAGGAAACTGGAATCATGCTTGCTGGAAGTTCACCCCAATAAACATCGAATTGTTTGCACCTTTGGACTTTGGGTATTGTTGCTCTCTGTTCACGTGAGAAGGACCAGGGAAGTAAGCGGGTGAAGGAATAAGCCCCCGAACATCTGTGACTTGCTAGAGTTTTCTATGGGGATATTTGGGAAATTTCAGGCCATGATTTGCAGTGTTTCTAGTGTGTGGAAATAAGCAGCCTGTTATAGCTTCAGCTTATCAAATACCATGTGACGTACCCAATGTCACAGTCCTCCCCACTCCTCAGGGGCCATTTCTACCTGGTTTCTCAGAGGCAGAAATTCACTTGAGGTCTCCCAGTGGTGACAAGGG